ATTGAATACCTGTCCACTTTGGCATGCTTATTGAATTAAAGTTCTTAAAAACATGCAGGTGTGATGTGCCCTTGGTATATGTGTTCGCCCACACACGAGTGTACAAACACACACACACACACACACACTAACTGTGGATCCCATTTTGTGTTGGCAAACTACTCCTGAGCATGAGCAGCAGGCTGCCTGGAGTGTGAGTGGTAGAACCAGTGTCACTCCTGAAGAAAACAGGTTTTTCCCTTTCCTAGCAACTATCAGTTGCAATGGCATCTAGGTTATCGGTGAGACATCGTGCCAGCTTCCCCGTCCCCATGCTGGGTGGTGTTTTGTGTGGTTTGAAGCTGTGAGGCCTTGTGCATGCTGTCATAGCCTGTGTGAGTTCCTATCAGCCCTGTTGGATTGGAAGGCGCTTGTTGTCCAGTCTGTGTTAGTCACCATCTACTGCAAGAAGCAGCTTCTCTGAGGCACTGCACTGCGGTGCACTGGCCTCTCCTCACTGGCCTAAAAAGACGGAGGCTCACGTCATGAGTTTTCTGTCATAGCTCTGGAATTTGCTAGTGCCTTCTTTTCAGTACAGGAGCTTTGATTTTGTTTGTTTGGTTGGTTGTTTTTTTTCTTTTCAAACTCAGATCTGCACTGGAGATGCTCGTTGGTGTTGAGGTGTTGTAGCTTTGGTGTCCGTGAGTCAAAAACGCTTGACAGGATCTTTTATAAAAAACCATGAGTTCATGGTCAAAGCTCTAGTTGAGACTCCTCACTGCAGACGGTTCGTGTGTGCTTCTGGTCCATGGTCTCATGCTTACTCAGCCAGCCATTGACAGCAGTTGCACATTGTACAGTTGGTTCAGCCACAGTGAGAGTGGCTGATCCCCCACCGCCTTACCCAGGGGTGCGTTATTGGGTTTGAAGTTTTGCCAGTTGAAGTGTTAAGCAGTGGTACTCACGTGGCTTTAAGTTTCTCCTGTAAGTGAATGACGGCCTTTCTTTTTACCTTTATAAGGACTGGTTGGGTAGTTTTGTGTGCGCTACCAATCTTTATCTCACTGTTTCCCTAATTCACAAAGTATTCTTACAATTGTCTTTAAAATGAAACTCTTTAAAACATTTTATGATATTTGTTGCAAATACTTCTCATAATTTATCTTTTAGTTTGGCTTATAATGTATGTGTCTTACACTATTTAATAATCTTAAAATCTGTGCTGTTTCCTTCACACACATGAAGTAACCTCCCTCCCCCTCCTCTCTCCCTTCCTGTCTGTCTGTCACCTCTGGAAAGCCTTCCCCAGAATTGGGCTTTAAGTGCATTCTTACATTTTCCTCTGGAGTTGATAGTTTCTGTTTTTGCAGTCACTGTTGGTCAGTTTGGAAATTCCTTGTTTTGGGTGTGGGGTACATAATCTACTATAAACTTTTCCCAAACAGCTATGTGATAATTTAAACTTACTAGATTTTCTGGTCTGCTCAGCTGCCCAGGGAACTTAGGGTGTTTTGTATAGTTACCATGTTCTGACTGGGTGCTCAGCAGTCTTGCGGCTGGTTGGCGCTGGTTTTCTGATCCTCCTTTTTCATGTGTAGGGTTAGGCGAAGGTCCGTGTGCAGCTGGTTCACAGCTTGCCCCTCCTCTTGAGTTCCCAGATGAAGGAACTGAGCACAGAACATGCTTCTTGTGGCATGTCCAGTGTCACAGTTTTACAAGCTTGTTTTATTGTAGTTCTCGTAGTTCTTTAGCATGCAATAATAGCAAAGCTTGAAAACCAACAAAGCAAACATCAGAAGCACCTTGTGTTTTCTATAGAACACACAGCAGTAGTACATCATCATGTCTTCCTTGTGTGATTGGTGGGTCTTAGCGCATCCTGTGTGAAATCCCCTGTAAGAAGGAAGCAGCAGCATAGCAGTGGGAGTACCTAGATTGCTTGACATAGGTGATGGAGAAAGAACACAAATGTCTGAGAGATTCATTTAGCAGTTTGATATATTTTTCTCCTGTGTATATGATTACAGAGTTCAATGCATGGCATATATATATTATACCCCATATGAATCATTTGTAAATAATATTTAAAAAATTATTTATGGGCCAAGCGTGATGCTACATGTCTTTAATCTCAGCTCTTGAAAGGCAGAGGTAGGGTGTTGTGCGACCGGCTCTGTGCTGAGTGGGGCCTGGACTCGGAGTGTTACCGCTATGTCGATCGAAATCGAGTGTTCCGATGTGATTCGTCTAATCACGCAATACTTGAAGGAGAGCAGTTTACACTGGGCGCTGGCCACCTTACAGGAGGAAACTACGGTCTCTCTGAATACTGTGGACAGCATTGAAAGTTTCGTGGCTGATATTAACAGTGACCATTGGGATACTGTTTTACAGGCTCTTCAGTCTCTGAAATTGCCAGACAAAACTCTTATTGATCTCTATGAACAGATTGTTTTGGAATTAATAGAGCTTTGTGAATTGGGTGCTGCCAGGTCACTTCTGAGACAGACCGACCCCATGATTATGTTAAAGCAAACCCAACCAGAGCGTTATATTCATCTGGAAAACCTCTTAGCCAGATCTTACTTTGATCCTATTGAGGCATATCCAGATGGAAGTAGCAAAGAGAAAAGGGAGAGCAGCGATTGCCCAGGCTTTAGCTGGGGAAGTCAGCGTGGTGCCGCCTTCCCGTCTCATGGCCTTGCTGGGACAGGCATTGAAGTGGCAGCAGCACCAGGGATTGCTTCCTCCTGGGATGACTAGAGATTTGTTTCGAGGCAAGGCAGCTGTCAAAGATGTGGAAGAAGAGAAGTTTCCAGCATAGCTGAGCAGGCATATTAAGTTTGGACAGAAATCCCACGTGGAGTGTGCGCGGTTCTCTCCAGATGGTCAGTATCTAGCCACTGGCTCTGTTGATGGATTTATTGAGGTGTGGAACTTCACTACTGGGAAAATCAGGAAGGATCTTCAGTACCAAGCCCAGGATAACTTCATGATGACGGATGATGCTGTCCTCTGCATGTGTTTCAGCAGAGATACTGAAATGTTAGCAACTGGGGCCCAGGATGGAAAGATCAAGGTTTGGAAGATCCAGAGTGGACAGTGTTTGAGAAGATTTGAAAGGGCACATAGTAAAGGTGTCACCTGTCTAAGCTTTTCCAAGGACGGCAGTCAGATCCTCAGTGCTTCTTTTGACCAGACAATAAGAATTCATGGTTTAAAATTTGAAAAAACACTGAAGGAATTTTGAGGCCGTTCTTCCTTTGTTAATGAGGCAACGTTTATACAAGATGGACATTGCATTATCAGTGCATCCTCTGATGGCACTGTGAAGATCTGGAATATGAAGACCACAGAATGTTCAAATATCTTTAAATCCCTGGGGAGTACTGCAGGGACAGATATTACAGTCAATAGCGTGATTCTGCTTCCTAAAAACCCAGAGCATTTTGTTGTGTGCAACTGATCAAACACAGTGGTCATCATGAACATGCAAGGCCAGATTGTCAGAAGCTTCAGTTCTGGTAAAAGAGAGGGTGGTGACTTTGTTTGCTGTGCCCTCTCCCCTCATGGCGAGTGGATCTACTGTGTTGGGGAGGACTTTGTGCTCTACTGCTTCAGCACAGTCACTGGCAAGCTGGAAAGAACTCTGACGGTTCATGAGAAGGATGTGATTGGAATTGCACACCATCCGCACCAGAACTTGATTGCCACCTACAGTGAAGACGGACTCCTGAAGCTCTGGAAACCTTTGCCTTTCCAGTGCAGCCAAGGAGCATGTACTTAAGTGGAGGACATGTTCATGTATTACTTTTACTTTTTCATGTCTGCATCCTAGCATAAAACTTGTAAATAAGGCAGTATGACATATTCAGTAGCTGCAGGTTCTTTTAAAAAAGATTTTAATAAACTTAAACCTTTCTTTACTGTAAGTGCTCATAAAGCAGGAGGGAGAGTCATTGTCCTTGATCCTCAAAAGTCTGGTAGTGAGTGTAAAACAGACTAATATGAAAAGGGCTGGTGATACACACAGGTTTTAATTAGCATTTCAAATAAAGTTTTCCTTTTAGAAAAAAAAAAAAAGAAAGGCAGAGGTACAGGGATCTCTGAATTTGTAGCCAGCCTAGTCTACATAGTAAATTCCAGGCCAGCAAAGTGAGAACCTGCCTCAAATAAGTAAATAAACAAATAAATACAAATGAAAGGAAATAGGAAAAGTTATATAAAGCTAGGGGTGTATATGTGTGTGTGTGTGTGTGTGTGTGTGTGTGCGTATTATATAAAAGTTATATATATGTATATCTCAAAGTTATGTAAAAAGAAGGTTATATAAGGCTAGAGTTCAGTGGGAGAACACTTGCCTGGTTGTGCACAAGGCTTTGGTTTTGATCCTTAGCAGCAGAAGAATGTTACATAATAGTTCACAAGTGGAAGGATTGTCCTTAACTTGTGTTTTCTTTGTTTTCTGTGTTATCTGTCTCCTCCTTTCAGCTGGAACATGAGCTTACTACGGAGCAGTTGCTTCCGTGTCACTGTCTGCCTGCCGTGTTACTGTCTGTCTGCTGTGTCACTGTCTGTCTGCCGTGTCACTGTCTGTCTGCTGCGATGCTTACAGGGAGCAGTGACTGTGATGGATACAAATAGTTTTGTCTCTGACATATCTTCAGTCTAAATATCTCAAGAATTATTTGCTATAGGAAACCAATAATAATAAAAAGAACAACAATAATATAATTATTACTTGAAGCTTTCTCAGAATCTTTGAAGTGCTCAAGTCTTTCAGTTTAGAAATGGTGACTCTGGGGAAAACATTTATATTTATTATTACATGGGATCGTCACAATCTGTCTATTTCCATAAAAAGTATTTTGAGTGAGAATTTGTGTGTTTTTCTTTAGCTTCATCAGAGTCTTTCATAAAGAGCGTACAGAACTGACCCAGAGACTGTTGTCCTTGTGAGCATCCTGAACACACACATGTATCTGTGTTCCTTCTCACCTTCTGTGTTCCTTGGTTTTCAGGAAGAGATGAGACCATGCAGCCTGCAAAACCATCTTTCCTTGAATACTTTGAACAAAAAGAAAAGGAAAATCAGATCAACAGCTTTGGCAAGAACGTATCTGGCTCTCTGAAGAATTCTTCAGATTGGAAAATACCTCAGGATGGAGACTATGAGTTTGTGAGTGGAGCTGAGATTGAACGGTGGTGCTCCTGGGAGGGAGGGGTCTGCGGTGTGCTCATCCTGTCTAGTCAGCTCACAGGCCCTCAGGGCCCGGGATTGAGCATTTTCTTACAAAGTCCGAGTCCCCATAACTACCCTTGGCAACTGCTCCAGGGCCAAGGGCCTCACTAGTTTGAAACAACACTTTTGCTGACATGTGAAAAATTCTGGGATCCCCGACTAACGACATTTTTTCCCCCATATAAGAAATCCTTCATCCACCTTGTTTCCTGCTTTATCCAGGTTGAAGTGATTAGGGATAAAAGAAGTACTTGATGACCCCGTGAAGCGGCGGCCGTCTTTAGTAGTTCCTTTGGAACTGTGATCTTTGACTTAGGAGTTGAATACTGAAGGGAAGCAGGGTATGGGTCAGAAGGTGAGAATGGGAACGACACAGGTCTCCAGAGCAACAGCTTGTCAGGCAGATGGCTGATCAAAGATCCCGCAGCGGAGACCTTTCCCCTTGAGATTCACGGGAATCCCTTGGCTGTGTACTTTATATTTTGAAACGTGTATTCTGGTGCCTCTGATAACATATAGCAGGAAGACCTTGGCTGCAGTGTTTTACTATACAAAGGAGGCCGCAAGTAGGGACCCTGCTTCATTCTTCCTCCAGGTCCTCGGCATGTCTCTTCGGAATTGACATCGAGTGCTTCTTACAGTACTCCGCCTACTACTGTGAGGCAGCATAGACGCACAAGCTTTCAATTGTGTCGTGTTGCCTGTGGAGTTGTCTTCAGTGTATTTGTAAAAATCGATTTTCTTAGTTTACTGGTTCTTTAAGCAAGTCTGTTTGAATTTCAGTCAGAAGATCCCGTTATTGCCATACAGTACGTAAGAGCTCTTAGGTCTGTACTGTTGTCTGCTTCTTCATCTTCAGACGTTTAGAACTAGTAATCTTGAGATTCCAGTCACTCGCATGCGTCCCCTCCACTCTTAGATCAGCACTCAGTACATGAAGAGCTCCTTTCTCACTGCCCTGGTTTTCTCGCTGAACTATTGGCTGAGGGCTTTGTTTGACAGGCAGGCTGCTCCTACAGAGAGGCTTGGTCCTCAGAGTGTGTTGGTGGAAGAAAGTGATGGCTAGTTCACAGGGAAGTTGGGCCCCACGAGCGAGCATGTTAGCAGCTGTCTAGTCTGTACTGCACGAAGACTCTTCTAATCCAAAGGCTGGAGCCGCATTCAGCTCACACAGGCTGCTCTGAGTCTCTATAATACTACAAAATTTAAATCCAGTTGCCTGTGTTTAAAATGAGATATTTTATATAAAATTCTATTTTTCTAGCTTGTCCCAAAAACTTGGAAGATCTGGCCACATGCCTTATTACTATTGGATGATGGTTATTTGGCTTTAATAGCAGCCGTTCTGTTTGACCATGGCTTTTCCAATTCCCCACCTTATCTGGCCAGCTTCACTCTTTTCTACTATAGTCTAACCTATCTCACACTTAGAGAAACTTGCTATTAGGGCTTTTGTTCCAAATCCAAATCCAAATTTTGGATTTATATATGACTGAGCCAACCTGTCCTAATGTAAATTTCTGTTTTTATCTTCAGAATGGCAAGAGAATTTGTTAAAGAAACGTGCGACACGGCGTGCATTTGAGGAAGAAGCACACGCACAATGCAGTGTACATGTGGGGTCAGGACAGTGTGTGGGTTCGCGTCCTCTCCTTCCACTGTGTGGGTCCTGGAGATCCAGTTCAAATGCATAGGCTTGGTGGCAACTGCCTTTACCCACTGAGCCATCTTGCCAGCCTGAGAATAATATTTTTATGTGTGGATCTGTGTGAGAGTATGTGCACATGAATACAGTGCTTGCAGAGACCAGAACATGAGATATACTGGAGTTGGAATTACAGGCAGTTGTGAAGTACCTGATGTGGGTGCTGGGAGATGAACGGGGCTGTCTGCAAGAGCAGTACACACTCTTAACTGCTAAGCTATTTTGACAGTTCTCTGAGAGTTTGTTCTTTAAAATTCTCTTTTAAGGGCATTTCCTAGTTGAGTAGTGAGAGAAGGTGGGATTAGGATGTACATGAAATAATTCTAAAGATGAAGGGGAAACTCTGGAAGGCCTCCGTACTGTAGCCCTTACCACAGTCCTGGAGCAAAGATTTGCAATGGTAGTCTAAAAGATGGCTCACAGTAAAGAGTGGTTCCTACACCAGCAGTTGACCAGGAGATACTGAATTAGAATCTGAGGACAGCACCAGGTGGTGCCTCAACCTGCCCCTCCGGTGACACTAAGCCATAAAGTCTGACCTAAAAGATTCTCAGAGTGTAGTGTATCACTGTACGAGTTTTTCTTTTTCTTACTAGTTACCATAGTGGCAGAAGCACACTGCATTGTGGGAAGAATCCCTGGAAAATCTTACTGCAAGCTTAGGAGATGTATCTGTGTGCCTAACTAACATGTTTACCTCAGCAGCCTCAGAGAGAGGCTTTCTAATTCTAGACAAGCAGTACTTAATTATGAAAATGATAACCCTCTTTTTTCCTGTGAAGGCCATTGCTGTTTTCAAAATGAACTTTTTGTCCAAAGTAGAAAATAGGAAATAATTTAATCAGAAGTGGCAGAACTTGATATTAAAAAAAAACCTTTATATTTTCATCTGAAATTGAATACTTATCCCATTTCTAAAATTAAATTGCCTAGTTTACCAAGTTAAAAGAAAACCTTCAATGATTCCCTGTAGTGTTTAAGACACATAGTGATTACTAAAAAAACAGCACTTAAAAATACAATAGTCTTTTTTTTATGGCTCTTTTCAGTTTATTCCATGAAGGAGTTACACTAGTCTTAGTTAGAAGCAGATCCCAAATGATTACATTATACAATATTATATTATATAAACTTGTGACAAGGGACAGAAGGGAAATTCTACTCATTGCAAGGAAGTCCTCACTTAAGCTTCAGAGAGCCACAAGCACTTAAAACCCAGGAACCTTCAGCTGGTCGTCCTCAGCCAGTCCAATCTCTGTCAGGAACTGGCCTATGCTCTTGTGCTGGTCACCCTGGAGCTGAATTACTTCTCTATATTCTGGATGCTTAATTACAGTACCATTGCTGGCAGATTTCTTCTTATTTTTTTTTTTTTTCGAGACAGGGTTTCTCTGTGTAACCCTGGCTGTCCTGGAACTCACTCTGTAGACCAGGCTGGCTTCGAACTCAGAAATCTGCCTGCCTCTGCCTCCCAAGTGCTGGGATTAAAGGCGTGTGCCACCACTGCCCGGTGGCAGATTTTTTCTTAAACACCCTCACTAGTTTCTTTTTATCGTAAAGCATAATCATCAGCGATCCCCTGGACAGTTGGAAGGGTCTTCCTGCCTTTTCTCTGTTGAATTCTTACAGGGACATAATCCTCAGTGCCAGCAGGAGGCAGGTCATCACCCTTACTGGCATCAGCAAAGGGGTTGAAAGAGTGGAAAGGCCTGGCCTTCATGGCTGTGGAAGAAAGCAGGCGGGGGGTTAGGGGGGAGCTGAGTCCTCGGAGGCAGCTCAGTGACTGGGGGTGCAATAGTCTTTAAAAGTGATATTTTTATAAACAGTTTTGAAGAGAATATTCCTTATTCCTTTTATGAGAACTCACACATTCTCATTTTGCTATTTCTAATTCCACAAAAAGCTTTAAATTTAAATCAGTTTGGCTCATGAATCTTCAAAAAACCCACCCTGTAATACTTTAGTTTAAGATGATTTGCCAGCTCAGAGTAGATGCACAAGACAGAGCCTGTGTTTTCATCGAGCTCATAATGAGAGAAACAAGCATAAACCTAGTAATTCAATAAATAGAATCAGTTAAGATACAACAGTGGCTAATATTGTAAAGCATGGTAAAGAGAAAACGTGGAGGAGGCCTTGTATAGACAGGCCATTCAGTAGGACAGGAAGAACAGCAAGCTGTTGGAAGGAAAGGAGGCTCTTCATAGAGTGAGCAGTACACAGACACCGCTGGGTGGATAAGGGAGGAATGAAGTCAGTGCAGCTGAGTGACAGACAAGAAATGCAGACACACCGGAAATCACAGTACATGTGATTAAAAGTACCTGTTTTTTCTAAGAGTTTATAAAAGATAAATCTAAATACAGTGTCTCCAAAAAGCTCTAACTATAGAAATAGAAAAGGAGGACATAGCATGAGAACACTCACACTGAGGTAGAAATTGGGTGTGTGATGTGCCTCTGTGGGCCTTGCTACTTGGAAGGCTAAGGTGAGGGCTACAGCTGGGCAGGTGTAGCAAGATTGCATCTCAACAACAGCAACTGAAACAGAACTGAATACAACAGAGCATTGTCTGGGAAGAAATCTGCCTTGTATTACTGTAGGGTGTGGGTGAGCAGTAGAGGATGAGAGTCATGAGTCTGCATGAAGCATATGTGTCTATGATGAATGGATAGATCTCACTATCCAATTGTAATGTGTAATAGAAATACAAAGAATGTGAAAACTGAAAGCATAATGGTATAAATATTATTCTCTCAAGTATGGACACGTCAGGAGCTAAAGACATAGCTCAATCAGCAAAGGTCTGGAGGACCTAAGTCCAATCCCCAGAACCACATAAAAAAATATCCTGGGGTTGTGATCTATGCTTGTTATCTAGCCTTGAGACAGAGACAGAGACAGAGAGAGAGATCCCCGGGCTTACTGACCATCCAGCCTGGCTTACATAACACTGTGTAGCCAATGAATGACCGTCTCAAAAAAAAAAAGGACAAAAAAAAAGAAAGAACCATAGTTGTTTGCTGGCCTGTTCATGTGTGTGCATAGTGTAGTGAGAGTGTAGCAGGGGTGGGAAAGCCCCTGTCTTTATAAAGAGAACAAATGGATATCTGGGAGGAGGGAAGCCTGGGGAGGCTCGCTCAGACTTTGTACTGAGTAAGTACTGATGAGTAGGGACTGAGGGAGCTTGGAGGCTGGGCTTTGACATGCAGCCAGACTCTGTGTCAATGGA